CTCGACCGATTTTAATATTACTCATTTTAACGAAAGCAAAGGATAAGTGTGTGAGAGAGATAGAAATATAGCGATCAGCAGATAAGGACAAATAAAATAATAAAAAGAGAGAGAGAGAGAGAGAGAGAGAGAGAGGAAACGTCAAGGAAGAACATTTAAAAAAAAAAAGAAACGAATGAAATAAATAAATAAATAAATAAAACAAAAGAATCGAAGAAAGAATTGAAACGTCATTTTGCGAGCAATCATCGAGCTGCCAGCCAGTGGAGTGAGAGTAAAGAAGAGAAAGAGAGAAAGAGAGAGAGAGAGAGAGATCCCGCCAGTGCAGATCCCCGACAGATAAATTAGCAATTTAATTATAGAACTGTCAGGCGGTAATTAAATTAATAACGAGAAACCTCGAATCCAATCCGATCCGTCCTGGCAACCTTTCGCGCGCGTTCACTCACTCTCGAGAGGTAGAAAGAGTAGAATAGTGTAGTCCATGTGCGTGGATATGAATGTAGAAACTTTGGAGGGAACAAACTGCTGGGCGTCCAGAGAGCTAGCAATACGGGTCGTTTCAAAAGTACCTTCATGCCAACCTGTTACACTCGATGATGGCTAAAACCAGGGATTAAAACGACAATGAGATGTTGTTCTGTTTCTTCTGTCCCTTTTCCTTTCCTTAACTTAACTTAACTCAACTCAACTTGACTTGACTTTTTCTTTTTTTTTTTTTTTTTATTATTTGTCTCCTCTTTCTCTTTCTCACTCCTCTTAGGAGTGTTCCTTCCTCTGTGTCGTCCGGCAAAGAGGACGAACGATAATCTCGCGATCGAATATGGCGATAGGAACGTTCGACGAAGTTACGATCGAGTTTGAGGGAGAGAAAAATCATCGAGTGAGCCCCTTGAGTTAACGCTAATTGCGTATTTGAGATTTCAGGCTCGGAGGGATACGAGTTTCGTGCACGTATTCACTTAGGCGATAATAAATTATGGGGTTAATGGATTCGCTTCAGGGTTGGGCTATGGAAGTAGCGCGCGTCGAGATTGTATATATGTGTTGTATGAGTGTGGATGTGTGTGTATGTGTGTGTCTGTGTGTGGGTGTGGGTGATAAAGACTCTCGTTTAAACTTTTTCACCGTAATTTTTGTGGAGTTTTATTGACGGTACTAAAGCTTGTAGTTACGTCGAAGGTGTATGGGGGCCGATTGAAAAAAATTAATAAAAACGAGGAAGAGAGAGAGAGAGAGAGAGAGAGAAGAGGAGAGGAGAGGAGAGGAGAGGAGAGGAAAAAAAAATAATACACAAAGAAATGATACTGCAATTTAATTATCCCCCCGTTGAAAGAAGAACAATTATTATAATCAATTAATTTTATCTGCATTTCTAATCGATATCGCGAGACAAATTATTAATGCATGAAAGACTTCTATTTATAAAACACAAAAAGAATGTATATTATAGTCTACAAACAGATAGTATATAAATTCGACGTACCGTTCTTTTCGAAATTCAAAAGTAAACTGATTCGTTGTCATCTATGAAAGTCGATCAAATTTCTTTTATCGATTGTTATTTATTATATTACTTTCCGAAGTTTATATAATCAACTGAAAGTATACATACCTTTTTAGAAAAAAAAAAACAAAATAAAAAAAAAAAAAAAGAAAGATAGTACATTCCAGTTAGATATAAATGTCTATATAACCATTGGAATTTCTTGAATAATTATAGCCGCCGTTAATGTAGGAAATGAAAAGGTTTCTTCATCTTAGTTAAATGAAAAGGAAAGAGATGATGCGCTACGGTGGTGGAACGAACACCGTTGTTGGATTCGAAAACGTGTACGTTCCCTTCGAATCTTGATTCGACATATCCGCGTATCGTTACATAGCTAATTGCTGCATAAACATCGGGCTTTACGAGGCCTCGCTATGCGCTCGGCAACCGCACCGCAAACATTGACTGCCATTAACTTGGACGCGAGAGTGTGCGTATTGATGCGTTAGTGTGGAAAGCAAGCTGTGTGTCTCTGTCACCACATTGAAGGAAGGCCAAACTCGCGTTTAAGACTACTGTGCCGTGTAACAGGACCGCCAGGTAATTAGCGAGAATGTTTCGGAAATTGCGCTCAGGTCTGTTTTTTTTTTTTTTTCATTTCTTTTATCTTCTTATTTTTGGATTTTTTTCTTCTTTTATTCTTTTTTTTCTTTTTTTTCTTTACTAACCTTCGATTCATCGCGTTTTATCAACGTTTACATGCACCTTTCGATAGACTCTCTCATTTCTGTGAAAAAAAAAAAATAAAAAAAAATAAAAAATAAATAATTATTAATAATTGCATCGTTTATTTTAAACGCACTGGCCCGGCCACCGGTAGGTAGTACGTTTATCATTAATTTTAACTCATTTTCAACTGAATTAAATTTAATGAGCGGAATTAACTACCGTCAACCAACATTCATACCGATCATAAAATACATTTTTTTTTTTCTTTTTTTCTTTACAACAACATTTTAACAATACTTTACGATAGGAACTTGTCTGAGAAATATTCCCGTGTCAATTTAATTGGCATTTAATATCTTTCATTTAATAAAAATGTAATTTTAACGATCAACCGTTTGCTTAGAGTCTAACCGAAAAATTATAGTAATCCTTCAGAAATGTGGTCTTAATGTCGTTAAAAAATATTTCAGCCTTTTTTTTTCTTTTTTCTTTTTTCTTTTTTCTTTTTTTTTCTTGTCTTCACAATAATAAGCAAATAGTAGACTGATAAGCAGAATTTTCATTTTAATTATGTAGAAATGAATATAGTCTGCATTAACACAAATCTCATTATAAAATGAAATAAAGTATATTCGCAAATAACTTTGTACTTAACCATTATTCTCAAAACTCCCATGAGATCATTCAGTCTGTTCTCTCATTAATTAATTAAAGAGAAACACGCATGCCATATATAATAATATTAATATTAATTAGCTTTATTATTACGATTGAATAATTATTCAGAAAGAGACGCACATCTAAGATATATATATATATATAACATGTATCTAATTGACTTTAATAATATTCACCTAACAATTTACATTAATAAAGAACATCAAGTAAACGCTTTCGTAAGTGTTTTACATACTGAAAACATACGTCACATACATCTTATACTAATTGTACATTCACTTCCTTCCATACACAATGTTAACATATTCATCTCGTAAACTGACAAACATCATAGATCTATGCAAACGTCCAGTACCAATTGACAACCTGTTTCCATTATCTAAATTAAGAATAGCGGTAAATAAAGCGACTGAAACATGAGAGTTATTGATGACACGAGATTAGAATGAAAAATGATTGCTTTCCTAAGATCTATTGTTTATTGTCCCATGTTTCATTAGAACTCAATATTAAAGGAAAAGCGACAGCGTTATCTCTTTCTCTCTCTCTCTCTCTCTTTCTCTCTCTCTTTCCAGGTAACATGAAACAAGACGATTCAACGAAAAGGTTTCATCTGCCTCCTTTATCCAGTCTCGCAATTTACGATATAATGACGAACAGACTGGATTAGCAAATACTCGAAAGCGACGAGTATTATCTTTTTTTCCTTAGACACATCGGGGTGTTAGATTTTATTTTAATTAAAAAAAAAAAAAAAAATACGTTTATATATAAAAATGATTGAAATCATCTTTCGAACTATCCATTAAAGAAAATCATTGAATATACGTGTATATATGCGTTTATTATCGTAATCTTTAGAAGAAATCTCTACTAGATTGATGTGCAACTTGAAAATTGATTTTCCGTTCTCTGGCCTAACTGTTCTAGCATTAAACGTATAAACGTAGGAAATATATAGAAAGCGAAGATGAAGAGAGAAAAGAGAGAGAGAGAGAGAGAGAAAGAAAATGGTTGGGTACTTGTTGGTAGGAGGATAAGAAGAGAACGGAGTCGTTATCTACTCAGGACCGTTACTTCGTACGAGAACCGTGCTGCACGCCGATAGAAACGCGCCGTGCACTCCAGTCCCGGAGTTATCTGGCCAGACTGCCAATTAAAAGGCGCATTTACAACACCTTATTATATCGATGTGCTCGTTTGCCCTGCCGAGAGATAGGACGAGAGGACTGGCGAGGAAACGATAGAAAGAAAGAAAAAAGAAAGAAAGAACGAAAGAGAGAGGAAGATAGAAAGAGAAAGAGAGAGAGAGAGAGAGAGAGAAACAGAATGAAAGGGAGAAACGTAGATGGGAGTAAAAAAGAGAGCGATAGAAGAACACTAGAAAGGGACGACCTACGACACGTTTAAGAGCGAGACAGTCAAGAGAATGATGGAAAAAAGAAAGAAAAAGATAAAGAACATGTATATATATATATAATATATATCCTACTATGTATACGTATACATGTATACCTGCATACAGAGAATTCTGCATGAGGTATACAGCAGCAGCCGTCGCTAGCCTAACCTCATTTAGTTAGAAAGTGTTTGTACGCGGCGAGACTGGCGCAAGATTTAATTGGAAACGCGTCATATTTATCGTCGACTTGCGCTGAGACGGCTCGAAGAACGTCATCCCCGGGGCTCCCTGGTTCGCTCTAATTGGGCGCCCGTTTCCTCGTTCGATTCCTCTACTATCAGGATTTGTCGACGATGCAACCAAGCGTACACTACGATACACACCGATCTTCGGAATCTGTTCTTCTATCTGTGAACATTATCCCGAGAATGTGTTTATCAAGTCAAGTAATTCTTGGAAAACTACGTCTTTAATTATAGCAAATTCAACTTAATTGAAATGATCGAACCAATTAAACATAACTTTCAGCATTACATAAAAATAATAAAACTGATGTTGTCTCTGACATGTTTTATTTTTTTGCAACGACACGACTGAAATTTTTAATACTTGATTAAGAATTAAATGAAAAGAAAAGAACAAAACTTATTGTCGATCATAATGACATTAACAATTTACAATATTATTTTTTCGTTGTTTCAGAATATTTGGCAGTAGTGGTGCCTGTACAGGTTGTGGCAATCCGATACCTGCCAATGAAATGGTCATGAGGGCGGGTGGATCGGTGTTTCATCTAAAGTGCTTCACCTGCAGCAAATGTGGTGGACAGCTTGTTTCGGGCGACAGGTGAGATAGGAAGCCATTGTTGTTGCTTTATTTCAAATAGGAAGGACTATAAATTAGCCTGTCCATTAGGTAGAACAAAAAAAAAAGCTAAAAGCGATAGTACATTCCGGTAATCAAACTATTCGGCTATTCGAGCTTGCTGCATAGAACTAATCCTTTGAATATCCGAACAACACCGATACGCTGTAACCATAATCCCGGATTCTAGATCCGTAAAGAGACACGGCCTACACAGAGTATTTCCTCGTACACACTACTCGTGTATCGTAAATTCCATCACCCTTTTTTGTTTTTTACAACATTCAAGGCGATCTTTACCAATTGAAAATGAAAGTTATTTTTCTAATATTTTCGATTATCCTGTAATTCAGATTTTAGTCAGATCAATTGTTCTAAGTTATCTCAGACTTTTCAATAAAAATGTTCATTAAGTATTCTAACATAGAAGTAACATTGATGTAATTTTTCAGGTACTATCTATTGTCCGGTTCACCGGTTTGTGAAACGGACTGGCACAAGATATTGAAATCATCGAGCGTCGCTGCAGCGACTGCAGCAGCAGCAGCAGCAGGAAACGGTGGTGCACCTGTAAGGAAAGGTAAGGTCGGTCGGCCTCGAAGGAGCCGCGAATGAGGCGGCAACCCGGTCGGTCGCCCGAAGAAGGTTCAACCCTCTCCACAAGCGACGCCCGTTGTCGTACCAACGCAGGTCGACGTTGCGGACGTTGCCGTAGAAGGGGATCCCTATTCGCCGCCTCCGCCGGGTCATCAGCACTACCATCATCATCATCACCACCATCATCACGAACACCATCAGATGAGCCTCGTGCATCCGGGTCTGGCGGCTCAACAAACGACGCACATGCAACAACCATCCTCCGGCAGCTATCAAGAGTGGCCGCCGTGGGCGCAGGATCCTTGTGACTGAACAGACCCCTTCGACCTGGTGGTATTCTGCCAGGCCCGTCTCCAACATGCGTCTCTCTCTCGGAGATCACGTCCTCCTCTCTCGTTGTAAGAAAATGTCGTCAATAAAAGATGGCGTGCGTGATGCGTGTTCGCATCGGGAGTAGAATGTGCGTTTTGTAAGACGATTGAAAATCAACGTGTACGTATATATACATAAATATATATATATATATATATATACTATGTTATGGATCTTTCGATCGTCGCAAGTGCGTCGGAAACTAAATTCTACTGGCCGCTAGTTGCCATGTTGCTTTTTCGTTCGATCTCGAAAAAAAGTAGAAACGCCAAACTTTTCGTGCACGCGTGGAGGACGAGTCGCCGTCGATTTTTCTCTTCGCTCAACCAACACGTCTGCTTTCTTGTCTTCTTTATTCTGCTCCTTCAATCGATGTTCGGCGGTGTACGTGTACGAGTCAAAAGGATGATGCTCTTTCCTTTTCGATCTAAGCTTTCAAGTTATGTTCCTCCGAGAAATCGAAACGCACAGAAGAGCAGCAGACGACAGAAAATTCTCAAAGAAGGGATGCACGATGAACGTCAATAAAGAAACTTGGGCGATTCAAACGAGCGACCCATTTCAAATACCTCGACTCTTAGAAAATTATTTTTCTTTCAAAATTATCAGTCCTTTCGTCTCGCCGAGCAGCACGTTCCGTAAACTCGTTAAGCGTTCCTTGTTCCCGTGATCGTTAATGGTGTCTCTTGCTGCAAGGTGAAACCCCGTACCAACGTTAAGACTCTTAAACGATTGAAACCGTCATTTTAATCTTCCTCGATGGTTACTACGTTGTCTTGCTTCTCGTCATTTATTCTCTCTTTCTCTCTCTTTCTCTCTCTCTCTCTCTCTCTCTCTCTCTGTCTCATCCTTTCCCCATCTTTGTTCTGTCCTCCCTTTCTTTCTTTTTTTATTTCTTTTACTCATAATAATCGAACGGAACTCCATTCGCGTTACGCGAATAAAATTATTTTCTTTTTTTCTTTTATTAACGAAGATTATCGATTTAATTCATTGAACGAGGAATGCACGAGTGGTACACACTACATTCATAGTGGTTATATAAACGCGAATTTCTCTCAAGAATCAGAAGTACGTATCTTCTGCACGTGGTCACATCGACGACAAGTAGAAACGCTTTCTTTTACAGCCAATTGCTGCCTTCGAATAACGGCTGTGAATGTAGAAAGATGTAAATGTATGGATCCCCTTTCTTCTCCCGTGAATGAATCATGTCAAAGTCTTGCATGTATGTGTGTTTCAGAGTAAGAAAGAAAGAGAGAAAGGAGAAAGAGAGGGAGAGAGAGAGAGAGAGAGAGAAAAATAAAAATAAAAAGATGGGGGTCACGCATGAAGCAATTTGAAATTTGCATCAGCATCGATCTATGACATTTTGCGAGCTTTCGTATATTTCTTCGATCACTGACTATGAGATACATTGCGAAAAAAAAAAAACAAAAAGAAAGAAAGAAAGAAAATAAATAAAAAAAAAAATAAGAAAAAAACGAACATCGTTTTTATTTTCTATAGGAGAGACGCGCACATTTTTGAAACTCGAATTGAATTACGAGGCGCAAGAATAAAAAAAAGGGGGATGCACGACATGAAGAAACTGTTTTTGTTTTTTTTGTTTTTTTGTTTTTTTCAAGCGACAGGGTTACGATCATCCGCAATAAATGTAACATAAATGTATAATCTTATAACACGTTGCGATATAATCTATAAACCGCACGTAGCCAATGTCGTTTCTCGAATGTTGGACAGGCTTTTATCCCTTCCAATTCTGTTTTACGTGATGAACAGACGAGGGAGAAGCTAAAATGCGACACCGATGACGAGCCAATTCGAAGCTCTCGATATTGAAACTAAAGACACAAGTTTTTGATGTAAACTGTACCATAATGGAAAGGATAAGAGAAAATAAAAAAACACCTCGATCGTTATACGTTTACTCGTTCCGTTATTAGCGAACTTTTGTCTCAAGAGCTCTGCGTACTTAAAACAAAAAATAAATATTAAGGGCTCGTAGGTAGGACTTTTGGAGAAAGCGACGCGGCAATCTTTGGAGCGAAGGAGAGAAAGAGAGAGAGAGAGAGAGAGAGAGATAGAAATGCGCGGGCGCAGGAGAGAAAGAGAGAGAGAGAGAGAGAGAGAGAAAGAGATAATTAAATAATTGTTCTGCGCGTTGATCTAACGACCGATTTTCAGACCAAGCAATGCACTTTTCTTTCTGTTAAATATGTCATCGGTCGCTGGATCTAAACTTTTAAATCATCCAACACTCAGCAAATTGATTTGTAAAGAGAGCGAGAGCGCGCGCAAAAGACAGAGAGAGAGAGAGAGAGAGAGAGTGCAAGAAAAAAATTGAGAGGAAGAAGTGCCGCGCCGATGGATCGTGTAATTTAATCTTGTACATAGGGTACCATTTTGTATATTGTTAAAAGTTTGTGTGATATAAATGGTTATGTATTTACTATTGACAAAAGAATAAGCGACGACGACGACGAGTCCACCGCGCGAACCCAACGAACCTATCATCCGCGCGATGACGTGCTATGAATTTTTTATTTTTAATATTAACAAATTACATGTTTCAACATGATTTATAGTTTCTTGATTTTTTCATTTTTTTTTCTTTTTACCATTTTGTTCAATGTATTTCTTCTTGCTTTTATTAATTTTCTAAGATCGCAATTTATTATCTATTTGAAATGTGTTATTACTGAGTTTTGCTAATTGTTTAAGCAAATTCAACATATGTTCAACATATTGACAGCTATTATTTAAACGTCTCGCGGATCGATCGTATGTTTCGCGCGCTTATTTGACTCGTAGGTCCGCGTTTAAAAAGACAGCAATAAGAAAAGGTTCGAAATGCGCCAGAAGGGTCGACATTCCTCGATTCCTGGAATAAATAATGCTCGAACTGCATCCTCGAATTCTGCAATAAGTAATAATTATTATTATTATAATAATAATAATATATAAGTTGTAATAATTATAGTAATGATATGTATATTATATATATATATATATATTTATATTATATATAATATTTGCATTATGTATAATTTCAATAATATATATTATTATTATAATAATAGTATTTATTTTGTCATTTAATAATAGGCGGCATTCTTGGATCTCGAGGCAATGTGTGTAAATATAATGGAAACGGGGGACGCGCACCACAGTATCTGAAGTTGAAACTTCGACAGGACACGTCCTCAGTTTTTCTTCGGCGAACGCGCGCACAGATCGGCGACGATCTTTTGCGTTTAGTTAATTTTGTTATTTGATTTATCTCGATTTTTTCTTAAAAACCGGGACCGGACATCTTTAATGCGGTTTCGCAAGCCTCTTGTAAAATACTATTACACGGAAAGACTCGGACACACATACGAACACGTTTATTAATTAATAAAAATACAACTTTTTAGAAAAAAAAAATGTATTGAGAATGTGGCTTATTAATTATTACCGCATCTTATCATCTTCTCTCTTTTCAGCTTTTACAACGATGAAAAAAAAAAAATATAATAAATTCTACGAATTGAAGGTAATAATATCGTTTTTTTCTTTTTTTTTTTTTTTCAAAAAATTTCATTGAAATGTTTTTTTAAACGATAGTTGACAAAAAGTTTGAAGTAAAGATTTGAGTTATTGCATTAATCGAATGAAATTTATTTTATTACAATATTTGTAATGTCAATATTATTTTATGTATACTATTTTTCAAAAGTGGAAAATCCAGCTTCGTTTGCTCCATCACATCTACTAAATAGCTGTGAAGAATTCGTTCGTTTTGTAATTCATCGTTCAATAACGCTTCATTCTTAAAAAGCATTTTGTAACGACCGGATTTAATGTCTTGAAGCAATTTTACTTTACGTTGTTTAAACACTAATGATTTTAATTTCTGAAAATAATTATAAATTATACTTATAAAACGATAAAAACTTCATTTGTAAATTCTTCTTTTCCATGGCAAGGTGCATTAACGATATTAGTGTATCAAAGCAAAAGAATAAGCTAATACTAAATGACAAGAATATAAATTCATCTACAAATACGAATTAAAGATATTTGCACATTGTAACGTCAATTTAAATTAAAAAAAAAAAAATCGTCTTTAATAATTATTTATCCTTAGACATTATTTAGCAAGAAGCCATTACGTAATGGCGTAGCCTAGAAAAAAATCATTTTTCGTTTAATAAAAAATTGCATATCTCTGATTTAACTTACATAACTTTTAAGCATATCCATTTTCATGATTTCTTGATCTATGTCAGGAATAGTATCTTCAATCACCTTTAGTGCTTGTCTTTTTTCATCTAATTCTTTTACCATTTTTTTCATTTTTTCTTCCATTTGTAATATATTAGATTCTATTTGTTTCATTTCCTAAAAGCAATAATAAGATGAAATCAAAATTAATCGATTTTAAAACAGTTTTAATCTAATAAAAAAAAAGCACCTTTAAAATTTGTTTTATTTTTAATTTCTGCTCTTTAATACGTTTGGTAAAGACTATTTTTTGATTTTGTTGTTCGTTAGGATTTTTCTTCAATTTGCCCATAACTTTATTCAAAATAACATCTCGTCTTCCTACACAAAACTCCATATCGTTAATTAATTTTTCTTGGGCTCTTTTCAAGTGTGAAAGACGCATTTCCATTCTGTGAATTTCACTTTTCATTACTGCTATATCACCACCACTACTGCGTTCACTTTTTATTTCTTTACTTGTCTCTTGCATTATTTGAACCTGAAGAAAAAGAAAATATCAAGATAAATCAATACAAATTTGTAGCATCGCTGAATAATATAATATTATACAAATTACTTTTTTCTCCCAAGATAAGCTTTCTCTCTGTGCTGTACTTAGTTCTTCATTTAAAGTTGCTTTCTCATTTATTAATACTTGTAAATCTCTTTGTAATTTTATAAGATCAAACTCTGCATTTTCCAATGACGTCAAATATTCATTCTTCTTAATACAATTTTTATCTTCTAATTCTTCCCTAAGCTCCTTTTGAACAACAAGATTTGTATTTAATTGCAAAAGTTTCTGATGCAACAAATTTATTGTTTTATTCATGTTTGCATCTTCCTTCTCAAATTTTTCTAACTGATATTGTATCTTCAAATTTTTCTGCTTCATTATCGTAACCTCTTTGTTAAGAAGATTAAGCTGCTGAAGTTGCTCATCTCTTTGCTGACTCAATGTAACCATGTATCCTTGCTGGCGTAACCAAAATTGTTGTGCTCTTTGATTGTTCTGTTCGGTCTCTTGAATATTTTTTTCTAAAGTAAGTATTTTTAAATCTTGCGGACTGATTTCTTCACCACCTTTACTCTCTAAAATCTACAGTAAAAATTATTATTCAACTTTTATATAGTGTAATTATAAAATTGTTTTAATCCTTTTACTGTAATAAATTTGTATAGATAAGAATATACTTTGACAGTAAAGTTTTATCTTCCTATGCACATTTTACAAATACGTTAATAGTCTAGGTGATCAAATATATGTATGCATTATAAATACCAACAGTATACTATGAGCTAATGTTAAAAGCATCTATAGGCATCTCAACAACGGTACAAGAGTTAAGAAAACATACCTGATCAATCATTTTGTTTAAACTAATAACTTTCATTTGTTTTCTTTCAATTGTTACGTCAGATTTTTTTATTTCTTTTTGCAATTCATTTATTTCCTTTTCCTTTTCATTATTTCTTAACGAGAGTTCTTGATATTCTATTTTTTCATTTTCTATTGAAGTATTTAATCTCGCCATTTCTAATAAATTCTTTCCATATGAATTTTCTACTTGAACAACTAAAAGTTCCTGTTCCTGTATCATCTTCTTAGTATTCATTAAAAGTTTATTTAGATAACGCGCTGCTTTGTCGTGTGTAATTTTTTCTTTTAATTTCTCAAAAATAAGATTCTCTTGTTCCATTTTCCAATTCATTAATTTAGCTAATTCTTTATCGATTTGTTCTTCTTTATTTAAATAATTTTGATATTCCTAAAGAAATATCTATAAGTTATTATTAAAATCAATGATATTTCAAGTACTGAAAATACGAATTACATACAGCATTCGCAAAATTATATTCATTCAGAGTTTGTTCCCCAAATTTAGTAATTCTAATTAATTCAGATTCAAGATTATTGATTTTTTCAATTCCAGTTGAAACCATTTTTGTGATAACTGCTAAATCATCTTCCACTCTTGATTGTAATGATGTTAAATTTTCATTATTTTCTGATTCTTTAAGCGTTTCTTTTTTTAATTTTTCTATTTCTGTTTGCAATGTATTGAAGGAATCATGCATTTTTCTACAAAATTTATAAATAGAAATAATATTATATTAATGATTTTATTTATAATTAATTAACAAAGATCCTATATATTATCTCATTAACTTACTGGCGTTCTTCTGTTAATTGATCATATATTTTATCACGTTTACTAATATTTAACACAACTCCATTCCATGCATTACTTAAATTTGTATGTTCTCTATGCAAAGCTTCTAAATCTGCATTTGCATCTGCAACTAATTGACTTGTTGCTAGTTTTTCTTTAATTTTTAGTTGTACTTGTTCATTAACATTGGTTATTTCTTCTTCCAATCTCCAAACTTCTTCTCTAAGTTTAAATAAAATGCAATCTTTTTTTTGTTTCTCATTAATTAATTCTTGCTGAAGAATTGCATCTTTTTGGCATGTTTTCTTAGAAATCATTAAACATTGTTTCATTTCTTCTTCCCAATTGGCAAATTGATTTTGTAAGGCGGTCATTTTTTGCAAATCACGTAAAAGTTTATCTTCTTTGTCTTTTTCCTCCTGCATCTTCTCCTTTGCTTTTTTATGCAATTCTTTGATATCATTAACTTTCTGATTTTTTTCTTCTCGTAAAGATGTCAGTTTCATCAACGTATTTTTGTATTCTTCAATAGTATTTTCTTGTTGCATAATTTCTTGTTGTGCATAATAAAGTTGTAGACTTTCTTCTTCATGTTTCTTTTTGATAGATTTTACAATTGCTTCCTAAAATATTATTATTCTTATCAGACTACTATTAATTAATCAAAAAAAAAAAAAAAAAAATAATTTTGTAGAAAGAACTGTTGACAAGTTAACAAGAACTAAATTAGGAAAAACAGAAAATAAAATGTTGTAACAACCAAATTGATGAATGAGGATAATAAAATTACTAAAGCATTTGTAATTTTATGGGGGATAAAGTAAAAACATACTGTATATTAATATTCTTCTTACAAGATCAAGTATTTCTTCTGAAAGTTTATTATTTAGGCGAAGAAGATGTTCCTTTAGTGCACTTTGAAATCTTTTCATCAATGCGTCATCCGGATCTATAACATTTGGAGCCTGTACAGAGGCTTTGCCTAACCAAAATGATTTGGATAGCTTCTTTGAATTCTCTATTTGATTAAATGTAGATGAATCATATTTAAGGGATGATGATAGGTTCTGTACTTCTGTCTCACACATTGTGCAATATTTAATAGGCTAGCTTAATCAAAATAAAAGATCCACTAACTCTACAAAAAACTTCAAAGTACTAGGTATGTATCTAATATTTTATGATGATCAAATAGATTGTGTGAGTTACTATAGTAACGTATAATGTATGTACATGCTTATAAATCAATAACTCATGAATAGATTAATTCAAATGATTATTTATTATGAAACATGATGGTCACGAGTTATGGTATTATAAAAGTAATGGCCAAATAAATGCATGTATTGAAAAATCCGACTTAAATATAAGTATACATTCAAAGAAAAGAATCAGATATATGTAAGTATAAAGGAAAAAGTACTATAAGATTTTATACAATTCAGAGTTCATTACAAGATAGAATATTACTACATTATTATAGTTTGAAATGTATATTTTTATTTCTATAGAATATTCATCTCTATTTATATTTACATTATTTTATATTAATTTTACTTAAACGAGTAAAAAAGATTAGTTTTACATATATACATAAGGATACATAACCTAAAATTGGTTGACTATGATAAGTGGTAGTCTACACACATATGTAAAGTAATATCAAACTCTAAGTTAAAGAAAAGCTTTATAAATAAACAATATTATAGATTTATTTGAACATAAAATAATTTATATTACTTCATAACTAAAATCGAGGACAATTATCTTCGTTCGTCAGTCAAACAATAAAATAAATATACAATTTAAACAACATTTTAAATTGAGTACATACCCTAATGATTATATTTCTCAAAAATTTAATAGTTATTTAATTAAATCAATATATTTTACTATTAAATAAACAATTTAAAATGACTACTATATATATATATAGCACTAATATTGACTATACTGAAAAACTTTCACCACATCCACATGTCCCTTTAATATTTGGATTGTTAAACACAAACTCAGAACTTAGTTTGTTTTCAATATAATCCATTTCCGTTCCAAGAAGCGATAGTTGAGCTTTTTTATCTATTATTATACGAACTCCATCTTGTACCACCTCTTCATCTAGCTTGCTTTTTTCTTTAGCATAATCTAATGTATAACTCAGTCCATTGCAACCTCTTTGTTTTACACCAACTTTAAGACCAATCTGTAAGTATTAACACATGAAAGGAAGCTCTTTAAAAACTACTAACAATTGAGAATAATTATAATAACATTCTATTTCACAATGTAAAATATTTAAATATATATATATATATATATTTTATTATATTGTGAATTTAGATTTTACTAATGTAGTATTATTCTAATATACTATGTTATGTAATAATTATATGACATACATAAAAGTCACTAAATATGTACTTACATATTCTGATTTATTTTCCAAAATTTCCTTAATTTTCTTAACAGCATTAGGTGTCTGAAATAAGTAAATATATAGATTTAATTATTCTATATATAATACTAACTTGTTTCTTAAAATAGGCATTACTGTATTTTGACATATATTGTACTGTCAAATGATAGAAACATTTTTTTTTTAGCAATTATGAGTTATTATTATAAAAATTAATAATGATTTGTGCACAATCATATTTGTTTTTATTATCTTCATAATAATACTAAAATAATAAAAATTATAGGTTATATTGTACTTCATTTATAAAAGAAAAAATTTTCGAAACATAATTGCATATATATTATATTTAGAAACAAGATAATAAATTTTTAATTGTTTAAATACTAACTAATGTCAAAGCAGCTCTCGTAGAAAGAATTTTTCGTCCTTTGACAGCCCGAACAGTGGCGGCAGCCATCATGGATGACGCCATTTGTAAAATACACTGTAGTTTGTTCATAATATGAAATAGTAAAAAGTTTATGAACTACTTTACATTTGTAAGATGGCGCAGTGATACACTTTTATTGTTAACACGTTGAGCGTCACGCAAATTCTTAGGAAAATCAACCTATCAGGCCACAGGCGTTACTGTGTATTGATAAAACAGTTGAATGTGTCAGTCATCCGTGACTGACGCGGCCTTAACTTTCCGTTTAGTGTCAGTCAGCCGATGACTGACGTTCAACTTTACGTTTAGGCCGCGTCCGTCACGAGTGACTGACACACACATATATATATATATATATATATATTACAATAATATTATAACATTGATACATGTTTTTAAAATTGTTTAAATAATAAGGTGTATAAATTTAAATAAATTATTTTTACAGTTTCATAAAATAAGATTTTATTTAGCGTGAAAAATGAAAGTATATATTACGCATATATGCACTAATAAAAATTAACATTTTTGTAATGAATTACGTAAATGATAAATCAAATAATTATTTTGTTAAAACTTTTCAGTTTCATCCTTGTGGAAAACGAAAACATCTTTCAATAACATGTTAGATCCGTCATAGTGGAAATTAACGGTTGGTTTATCCAAGGGGAATCCAGCAGGTTTATCGTCAAATTTGTAATCACCGAAGATTCGAGACGAGTAAATTTTAGGTTCATCTAATACTGGGCTGACATAGATAAACATACGTAATGGGAAACCTTCTGGTTTTCCTTTAGGGAGAAGCAACCTTTCTGGGAATCCATAAACTCTTTCGTTGTATTTAAGGGTTTCTGAGCCATCCAAAGCCTTTTCGATCTTCTTGTAGAAAACTTCACCAGGTTCCGGATCAGGAGATAAGTAGTAACAGTCTTTGCTGCTTCTGTCGATTTTGTTTATACCGGCATTTACTGTAAAAATAATTATCACATTAGTAAAAGTAAAATAAAATAAAATCAGTATATAAATTGTAATACTTACAATCAAGTATCCAGTTGTCAATCTGATAGAAATATTTGAAGTTTTCTTCAAAATTAAGTAATCTATGACGTGCATCATATTTAGGTCCGAGGAAAATGCGAATAGCTACTTTGGCACTTTTTTCAGAATTAATGGTTATATGGAAATTGAATGGTTTGTGATTGAGACGATATTGTCTTGCTTTGATAACGTAGCTCTCAGCTTCTTTTTGGCTCTCAACCACCAAACCGTTGTTAAGGGATGTATCAAATTGATCAAAGTAAGTTGACAATTTGTCCACAGCGAAGGATTCAACTTTGAAACTTGGGAAAACAACCATATCCTTAGTATAAGGCTCCTGACGTACTTTGTATCTATCAAAATCCATTAAAATAATATTGTTAATGTAAATAATGAATGTAATGTTTTAATGTGATATGACATATTTATTAACAAACAATACCTGTAGTAATAATAGATGATCCTCTTGTAGAGCCGATAGAAAGCTGGATCTCTTAAAGATGTAGCATAATCTTCAAGAGCGCTTGGTATAATTTGGTACGGTGTTGCAGGTTCCACGTTATATCCAAGAATCTTTCTAGCATAATAGTCTAAGCTTCCGTAGAAATCGTAGTTGAATGAATCCGCATTACCTTCAATTAAATTTCCAAGAATATTAATACCATTTGGACTATTAATATTGACCATTTTGGCATTTTTATCCCAGACAAAACCAGAATCAATGGCACCAGTGATACGTGATTCCATCTCGCGTACATCCTGAAAATAATAGAAAAATGACCCACCCAAATTTTAATCTATTATACAAATATAATTACATGGAAATAATATATTTTGTATAAACTGAATGGTAGATACCTTGATATATTTGTATTTGTAAAATGGGAACGTACTCCAGCGTGGACGTTGTACGAATGGCAGGCCGTTGTGATAAGTCAAGGTTGGATAATATCCAGGATAGAATTCTTGGGACCAGTCAAAATCTTCTACCTTCTCAAGACCGTTTGATAAACGTTCTAAGTGGTAACGTGCCATAATTTGTTTGTGTCCGTACAAATATTCTTCCCCACGATAAACCGGGAATTCAAATTCTTCGCTTTTCAGCCAGAAGGGGTATTGTTGTCTGAAGTAGAAGTAATACAAGTTCAAACCAATATCTTCAGTGAAATAATTTAGTTTGCTCTCTCCATCATATTCTTGTTTGTAATACCAGCCAGAATAGTTCGCTGGGATAATGTATGTGTCATATCCAAGTGACTTTTGCGAATCTGAAATATTATTAATAAAAATATATTCTTTGTGCTCTGACAATAAATTATAAATTTGATCTAAAAACTTGTGTTAATTTAATCAAATTTGAAATTTATTATTATCTACATAATAATAAACTTTCACGTATGTTATTTTTTATTTTTTTTAACAAAACCAGTTTTTTTTCCCCAAAATTCTAAATAACGTTATTTCAAAGATCTGTTTTTCTTACCTAGTTTACCAAAGACCTTTGCGTGATTTGCCTTTTGAAGAACTTCAGAATTGAAAAATGCATAAGGATACATCTCATAGAGAGGTGGAAGTTGAATATAAACAGTATCTGGACGTCGAATGACAGCATTGTAAAGAGCATAAGCAAATTGGCCTTCATTTATATATATGCGAGCCCACAATGCTGTTTTGTAGAAGACATCAAAATCTTTGGCATAATAGAACAAACGGAACAAAGCTATCGATTCTTTTAGGACTTTAGGATAATAGACTGAGAAAACGTTGCCACGTGGTAGCATTCCATGTTTGTATAGATATAGGAACTCTTTCACAGCATCCTAAAAATATTTCATAATTATATTTATCATTATATATAATCAATAAATTCATATAATTGCAAAATCATTAATTTGTTTCCAATTATTTAATTGTATATTTTTATAATATGTTAGATTATAAAAACTTCACAATATATCTATCATAATTATTCTGATTTCATAACATATAAAATATAGTATAAATATGATTTTATTTTTTAAAATCAATTACATACTTGATTGGTATAAGAATCGATGTTGGCTTCAATACTATATTGTTGACCTTCAGTATATAAATCAGGATTGACGATGTCTGGTTGTGAAATGTGATACAAAAGGTTGTATATCTTCTTTTGTTTTAATAAAAACACTTTGTCAGCCGTTTGAACAGTGTAATATTCAGCAGAGACAAGGCAGAAGGCCAGGACGGCCAGAACTACCAAGTTCCTGTACATGATTAGTTTAACAGACTTTCAGAGTGACCAGCTGTCTTTCCTCCACCAATTCTATGCACAACAACAGAATCCATCCATATTTATAGTATCATCACTTCCTAATCAACATGGCTCAGGTCATAAGGGCGACTCATATATTTTGCAAGGAAGAACGTACAAAAATGATACAGGGTATTAACGGTCATGTTTACCAGTGATTACTCCAGTTGAGATCTTTTAATGGTGTAATTATTTATACCTTTTTTTTTTTTATTTTGCCTACTATCGCGCGTATTATCTATTAAACTAATACTAATTTACGTTATTTTTTAAATGAAAATCAAAGAAGAATATTTATATTAAAAAATCGTATCTTTTCTTTTTCATTTTTTTTAAACTAGTATTGTTAAATTTAAAAAGAAAATTTATCATAGAATTATTTATAAATAAAATAAAGTGAAATATAAGTGCAGGCAAGCTTCTTTCTAAATTTTAAGTTGTTTAAAGGATTTTATAATTATTCAAAAGCAAAATACCACTTATAGAAAATAAATCTATTAAATGTGATCAACTTTAACGATAAATAATAAAGAAAAATAATTTACATATTTGTAATCTACATTTAATTTATTCATTAAATGAAGATACATTCAATGCATAAAAACATATCTGCAGGCTAAAATTAAATTGATGGTTATTAAGATAATGGAGTCAACCTGAGATTAAAACGAACGCGTGAATATATTATCAAGAAAAGTATGCTGATATCCAGTTGACTTCTGACATAAGTTTAATCTTGAAATTTCTATTTTGCAAATGTCGCGATATAAACAATTCTCTTGATAAATTGATCTTTATTAGTTAGAAAACATATTATAATCGTATTATATCGCTTAATATTTTTTATAGACAGATTATTTAATTTAACATAAACATATGAAATATCATTGTTAAAGTTATTATTAGTTATGCAATTATAATATAGTTTACTCTATTACACGATTAATATGATTTGTAACGGAAGAATTAATGAAAAGGACAAAACAAGGGATAGACTGGTTGAACATCTGGGCTTGAAAAATAAATCATTAAAATATGTAATTAACTGAGCTTGTTATAATTTTATCAATGTATTTATTCGCAATAATAAAAAAATCGATTATAATTGTACGGAATAATGACATACCTACCACCATTATCGCGTATTTATTCTTCAAGTTTCGATAAAAGCTTGACCTATGCTTAATCATTTGTATGAACTTTTTGTTAATTATGACCTCGCATCTTTTATGGATCCGGTTTTTTCTCAATCTGCTAATAAACTACAAGTATGTATGTATGTATGTATGTATGTATGTATGTATGTTTTAAATCGTCTTCTGATTTATTATTTAATAGGATTAGTGTAGAGGTAAAAAAAAAAAAATAATATTTTCACGAAATTTAAGGTGTCAATTATAAGTGAAACATTTTATTTAAAACATTGTGATGTTCTGTATAAGAAGTTAACGAAGATAAATATTTTATGTACTTTTAGCGATGAACTCTGCAGTCTTTTTCTTGAATTCTCTTTTGTGTATTTTTTGATAAAACATTCAAACAAGTTTAAGAATGTTTTAACCGGTAGTATTCAATTCTTCAAGTTGCTTATGGAAGATAACAACATCCTTGAAGAACAAATTAGGTAAATTAAAGTTGTATGCTTTAACTGGTTTGTCCAGTGGATAACCCATCGGACGTCCATCCGTGGTGTAAGTTCCCCAGATTGATGATTCAACTTGGTGTGTTTTGGTTTCATCATAAGGAGAGATATGTACAAAGAGTTTGAATGGCATGCCTTCTTTCTTGCCCTTAGGTAGCATTAGACGATCTGGGAATCCATAAGGTTTCGTGGTGTAGGTATAAGTTTCTGCTCCTTCGATGGCCTTAAGCATTTTCTTGTAGAGAACATCACTAGGAACATCATCAGGGACAACGTAGGACGATTCATGACTGTTGCGTTCAATCTTGTTGGTACCAACTTTAACTGTAATTCAAATAAAAATTAATTGATATTTTGTTTACTTTAAGAAATGAAAATAAAGATCGAACGATAATTAATATACTTACGATCGACTACCCATTGGTCTAATTGAATAAAGTTCATGTAATTTTCGCTGATGTCTAATTCTTGACCATGTACATTATATTTGGGTCCAAGGAATACACGTACTACACCTTTTACTCTAGTATCGCTGTTTACGACAGTAATATGGTAAGTGAAAGGCTTATGATTGAGACGATATTGACGTGCCTTGATCAGCATGGATTGAGCGTCTTTATGATTTTTTACCGCAGCAGCATTGCTGAGTAAAGATTCGAAATGGTCAAAGAACGTCATCAATTTGTCCACAGCAACAGATTCAACTTTAACACCAGGGAAAGCGAGTTCTTCATTTGTATAACTAGGCATGTTCTTTTTGTAACTAAAACAAACAATTATCTCATTAATACTATGTTATATATAAAATGATTATATTTATTATATATTATATTATTTAAATACGAACTTTAAGTAGTAATTGACGATGTTCTTGTACATGCTGTAGAAGACGGGATCTCTTGTACTTGAACTGTAGACTTCTAATGCACTAGGTCCAACTTGGTATTTAGAAGCTGGTTCCAAGCTGAATCCAAAGATTTTTCTATTAAGCCAGTCATAATGTCCGTAGTATTTTGGATTTATTGTATCAGCGTTTCCTTGAATGATGTTTCCAAGAACATTAGAACCTTCCTTAGTATAGATATTGACACGTTGACCGTTAACATCTTCGACATAGCCAGAATCAATGGCATTGGCAATACGGGTTTCAATCTGTTGAGCTTTCTAGAAATTTGAAAGTTTAATTGTGTAAGTGAAATAATTAGGTTAATTTGTTACTTTATAAAGTAATGATATTCTCACGTACCTGTACATATTGATGCTTGTTAAGTGGTACCATAGCATAATTTTCACGCTGAGGGTATGGGAGTCCATTGCTAAAGTGCATTGTTGGGTAGTATCCAGTAGGAATTGGTTTGTAGTAATCAACGTATTCAACTTCACCCATGTCATTTGACAATCTTTCCAAATAGTAACGGGCCAGTAATTGTTTGTGCCCTTGTAAGTACATTTCACCTCGAACGTTAGTAGGTAATTTGTATTGAACACTGTTCATCCAGGAAGGAAAATCGTGATTAACCATGAAATAGTATTGTCCAAGACCAACATCTTCGGTGAAATAGCTCAATTTTTGTTCTGATTCATCATTTCTTTGAAGGTACCAACCAGTGTAGTTAACGGGAATCATGTAATATTCAGTACCACCTGCAGTTTTCTTGACGGTTGTTTCACCTACTCCAAGATGGTATACCTTTTGTAAGACATCTGAGTTGTAGTATAAGTGTGGCATAACTTCGTACACAGGTGGAACACGCATGTATTTGGTGTCGTCACGATGGAGAACAGCAACGGTAAGAGCGTAAACGTACATTTGCTCGTTCATATTGAATCGTCCCCATACTGCAGTGTTATAGAAGGTTTCAAAATCTTTAGCAGTATATAAAAGGTTGAAGAAGCTAACAGCTTCCTCTTGAAGTTGAGGATACATGGCGGAGAAGACTCTTCCTCGTGGTAGCATTCCATGATTCCAACGTTGAAGGAATTCTTCTACTACAGTCTTTAAAAAAGCAAACAAAAAAATCAGTTAACCATGTTAACAGACAGCTAAGGAAATAATATTTCTTTCAAATAATTTTATAAGTAGTAATAAAATTGTTCTTCATTGTTAAATATTTCAAAGATAGAATTACCTTGTCAGTGTAGGAGTCAACGTGGTCTGCAATGCTGTACGAGCGAGCCGTTTGATAGAGTTCCGGGTGATAATTCGTTGGTTGATCAACGTGCCAAAATAGCTCGTAGACATTTTTTTGTTTTATTAGATACGCTTTGTCAGCGGTATGAACTTGGTAAGCGCTTGTTAAGCAAAACGCTCCCAAGAATAATAGTGCTACCTTCATTTTCTTATCACCTTTCCCTCTTACCCTATTGAAATTTCTTTTCCAAAGCCGTAAGTACGATCCGTTCGTGATTCCTTGTCGAAGATGAAACGTAATCCACTATTGCTAATTGTCTCTTATATACCCTAAATTATGTTTAATATCAGTTTTGACCTGTTGACAACCCCCTGACTTTGGATTAAGACAAAATACATGAGCAGATGATTAGGTGATATTTATTAATAAATAATCTCTATAGTTATATAAAATAAACAATTTTTTTTTATTTGTGGATCACCAATATTAAAGAAAGAAAAAATAGGAATATGTTGAGTTAAATAGAAGTATAATCTTAATTACCCTTTGACATACAATATAACCGAGACCTCCCGATATACCGATTATCTCATTAATTCGTTTCTTGTGAAATATTCCAGAAAGTGTATCAAAATCCAAGTTGATTTTATCGATTTGTACGTTAAGAGAGGGAATATTATATTTTATAAAAGTAAAAAACAAATTTAAGAAAAATATTCCATTATTAAAAATATAGAATAATTATGTTTCTATTATAAATCTATTATTATTATAAATATAGGTATAGTCAAGAATGATCTTACAATACTTTAAATGAAGTATAATATGATGATTTATTGATTAAATTTAATAGCATAATGAATTGAAAATTAAAAAAACAATATTCATAAAAGTATATTATATTTATATTAAAAAGTAAAATATAAAAAGAATGAAGAAAATATAACATCGAATCTCTAATTTGATATGCTATCTTGATGCATTTGTAAGCATACTATTATATAAGTACATTAATAACATAATTAACTTTATATTTTTCCTTATCTTTCTTATTTTATTTTTATTTCTTTTTTTTTTTTTATATTTTTTCTCTGACATATTATCTTATAATGTTTACTGCTATCTTTAAAAAAAAAAACTGTTTAAATGAGACGTAAGTTAATTCTAATTAATCTCTCTTTAGAATTTTAAAATCAAAAGTTATTATTTTTTAATCAGAAAACAGTTGCAATAATAATATAAATTTTTGTTTAAATCTAAACGTAAAATAATTAAATAAAATAATAAATATATTGCTAAAAGTGTTATAATTTTTATGTACATATAAATTTATTACTTTTAATTTTATAAACTTATAAGAGCACATATAATAATATTATATATAAATGCATTTATAGTAAAAAGTATACAACACTAGGGTTTGTTGAAAAGTTTTGAATTTATTCTTGTTTAAAAATTTTGAAACTATGTCGAGACATAAAAATGTGTTTCCATGTTAGATATAAAATTTTTCAACCCGCTCATGTATTATACTACATCGTGTGTGTGTGTGTGTGTATAACTCTTATATAATATTAGTTGAATATAAAAATTAATGAAATATTATATAAATGATTCGCTGAGAGAAATTATCTCGTAATATTTATACATTATTAATTACACTCGTTTTTTATATGGTAAAATTAAATGTTAATTAATTCAATTTTATTTTCTCTGTTAAAATAAACATTTCTAGGAGATAATAATAATAATATTATAGAATCAATTCGGATCATTTTAAAATGCGTGCTCAGTAAAAACGTAATCTAATATCTATATATATATATATATATATATATATATAATATAATTTATATTATAGAATCAATTCTGATAATTTTAAAATGCATGCTCATTATAAAAACGTTAAAATGCTAATATTTAATAATAAGATAATTAATAGACGTTTAAATATTGATAATAATATAATTAATAAAGTGTTTACATCTATATTATTATTACTATTATTTATTTAATAAATCAAGTTATTTCTTCTAAAACAGAGGTAACCAATTTCATGACATATATATATATATATATATGATCGACTATTTTTTGAAAAAATGTGTCATTATCTATCTGCTAAAATCTTGACATTTGACACATTCAAAAAGGAACCATGACCTTCTGTTTTTAATAATAAGTTGAATTTGTTTGTTGAAATTTTGTTTTCGGCTATGATCGACTTATTTTAGTAGCAATTCTTCTTTTAAATTTTATATCTATAAAACATATTTTTAATAATGTATTAATAAGGAGAAAAATCATATAGAATGTATATAATAAAATGACAATTTAGGAATATTTAATTTATTTAACATTTATTTTCAGAATTTGTCTATAAACTAACAGTCGCATGGTGGTACGAAATAGTAACCATTGATTTAATTGTCATTAAGTCTTAATAGTGTGAGAACTTTTCAGCATCTTTCGTGTTGTAGATGTAAACGTCCTTGAAGTACATGTTGGGAGTAAAGAATTTGTATGTGTACATTGGTCTGTCAAGAGGGAAGCCGCATGGTTTGCCATCGTAGTAGAGTTTGCCGAAGATCGGTAGATCGATTTTCACCACTTTCGATTCGTCGTATGGAGTCAGGTAGAAGAACAATTTGAATTTCATACCCTCGGGTGTACCCTTGGGAAGAGTTAGGCGTTCAGGGAATGCATAGAGTTTTTCGTAATAAGTAAATGGTTCGCCACCACTGGCAGCCTTTTGAAGTTTCTTGTAGAATGAATCGCTGGACATCATGTCTGGCATCGTGTAAACAGATTCACTGCTCTTACGTTCAATATTGTTCATACCAGGTTTAACTGCAAAAAGAAGTAGTAAAGAGAAACGATTATTGTTTGTTGAAACATTGTTGTTGTGTTCACATAAACGTTTGCTGAAATATTAAATATTTTTACTTACGCGTTACAATGAATTGATCCAGTTCTACGAAGTATTTATAGTATTTGCGAAGGTAACTTAAATCTTCACCCATGCTATCGAATGCGGGTCCAAGGAAGATCTTAACCATTGCTTTAGTATCTTTGTCAGAATTTACGCCTAAATGATATGTAAATGGTTTGTAATTGAGGCAATAACGACGAGCCTTGATGCGCAGGGATAATCCTTCTTTGAAGCTATCAAAGAAGACGGCATTATTGATTGTTGCATCGCAGTAGTCAAAGTAGGTCCAGAGTTTGTCCATGTTGACGGATTCGATCTTGACACCAGGGAAGTTGAGTTCGTTTTGAGAGTAGACTGGTAGATTTTCTTTGTATCTGAAGATACACATATATTAAATTAGATTATAAATTCTAACACGATTGGGATGCATCTATTTGTTATGCTCACCTGTATACAAAGTTGCTGATTTTGTTAAAGAGACGATAGAAAGCAGGATCTCTCATGTTAGTACTGTAGAGTTGCATAGCACTTGGTACGAACTTGTTTTTGTTCGCATAGTCGAAGTCGTATCCAAAAACATTTCTTACCAACGATTCATACATTCCGTAGTAACGTGAGTTACAGGTATCGGAGTTACCTTCGATCAGATTACCGAGAATGTTCAAACCTTCAGGTGTGTAGATGTTTACGAACTTGCCACTGTGGTCCATAACTAGTCCGGAATCAATGGCGTTTATAATACGATATTCCAGAATATCAATGTCCTATAAAGGAATTGAAATAAAAATAAGTATATCCATTATTATTGTAACACTACTTTTCCTATTGCATTCCACTGACCTTTAAGTAATAGTTTTTGTAATAAGGTATGTTATAGTAACTCTTGCGTTGAGGCATTACAACACCATTACGGAACATTATGGAAGAATAGAATCCTGGATAGAATGCTTTCTGGAAGTTAAAATCTTCGATCTCACCCAAGCCATTTGACAAACGTTCCAAATAATAACGAGCGATCAGTTGCTGATGGATATACAGGTAGAAAATACCACGGAATTCCTGAGGAATGTTATATTCCTTGCTGTTCAACCAGAATGGGAAAATTTGACGGAAGTAGTAATAATAGCTGTTCAAACCAAAATCTTCCATGAAATAATCTAATTTATAATCTTCATCGTAGTAGGATCTGTCAGTGTAATTATTGTAGATTATGTAAGTGTCAGTGTGATCCGTATTACCAGTAGGAGTTAAACCTATAAATAGACAAATAATGAAGAAATAAAAGAGATTTTTTAAACGAACAATAATTGAAAAAGAATTATTCGATGTTCGTACCGTGTGTCATTTTAATGCGGTGTGCTTCCTGGATAACACTCGAGTCGAAGAAATAGCTAGGATTGGATTCATAGGGTGGCATGGGATATATGTATTTGCAGTCGGGCCTATAGAAAATGGCAACATAGAAAGCATACGAGAAAACTTCGGGATTCAAATTAAGACGTGCCCATGCAGCGGTTTTGTAGAAGGTTTGGAAATCTTTAGCGTAGTAGAAAAGTTTAAACAATAGGATCATTTCGTTACGTTGCTCTTCGTGGAATGGGGAAAAAACAGCATCACGGCTAAGCATGCCATGTTTGTAATAATATACAAACTCTTTGACGATATTCTGCAAATCAAAATGATCATATTATAAGATGAAAATGTTGAAATAATAAATGTAAAATAAAATCAATTAGAGAAATGTTTGATACATCCAATTGATCTTAGGTTTTTAGTGTTCACGTAAAAATGAAATATGATGGATTATATTACCTTGTCTGTGTACATGTCCACGTTGTTCTCGATTTCATAGTTGCGTCCAACATTGTAAAATTCAGTGTCGGTCAGTACGTTTTGTTGCACGTAGAACAGCAATTCATAGATCTTCTTTTGCTTGTGAATGAAATCCATGTCAGCAGTGTGACTTTTAATACTGACGGCATTTGACAGACATAATGCCGCCAAGACTAGGAAGAGCACTTCCTTCAGCAACATCTTTCTATAATTTCTAGCCTTTTGACTAAGATCTTTACCCCAACTGTGTTAGGGAGAACGATGCTTCATCAGTATACGAGACCTCGCTTTTATACCGGTGGTTTTTCGTTGTAATCATTGTAACCTGTGACCTGAAATGTTCATCGTTCGTCAAGATGATTGAATCAATCGTTTTATGGCTAAACAACATTACAAAAACAAATCATACATGTTTTTCAGTTGAAAAGTACTTTATTGTGATATTTAAAATGTCCATTTAATTGAAATGATGTGTCGTAAATAGTTTGACGAAATAAATATATTTTCTCTTTATACGATAAATATTTGTTATGATTGAAATATTTTTGGAAATCTTTAGATAAATATCGTAATTTTTGTTTTCTTACTTCACATATTAATTTTTTATAAATTATATTATATTATATTTATATAGTAAAGTCTCATATATATCAAGAATTGCATTATCCTAATGTATCATTTCGTTAACTAGAAAAATCTAAAGAAATTTGTTATAGATAAAGTTGTTAGAATGAATCCAATACATTATAAATAAAAAACGATTACAAAAAAAAAAAAAAAAAAAAAAAAAAACAGAAAAATTCCAAACTGGAAAAATTCCATTTCTCTTAAAGTCATCGCTATAATATTATCTCATTGCTAATAAATTTACTAGAATTAAGTAGATTATTCTAAAATGTCAATTACGGAGAAAAAAAAGACTATTTCGAATTTCGAGTATTGAATTCTTTTCTCTTGTTCACTTTTTCAATTCTTCCTTTTTACAGATGTTATTTTTATCTCTGTTACATGCTCGATAAATTATTTGTCATCATCAAAATTTCATGAAATGAATTTTAATATTTTCTTTATAATCATTTTATATTTAGTTGAAGATAGTTTGTCGTGTCTCTAGTGTAAAATTAATATTTTTTTTTTTCAAATATGCAAAATTATTATATGTTCAAAAAAAAAAAAAACAAATTTGATAATATTAATTAATTATGCAATATTTTTTTCTGGCCTTGATATTATACAAATACGAATAATCATCGATTATCTTTTTTAAATTGTACGTACATGTGCCTGTTTACATCTTTTGCAAAAAATATAGATTATGTCATAATCTTTTATTTATCATTAATCGTTATAATTATATGAAAAGAAAACGAAAAGGGAGAGAAAAAAAATGGATGGAGTGGGAACTATCTACACCTCATTAACCCTCATTTAAATTATAATGAGTGATTAAATTGACACTTCATAACTTGATTTATTGCACATTTATCATTTCACAAGATTATTAATAATAAGAAAAATAAGATATGGAAAAATTATTTGTTAGAATATGTATGATACATTCTCGTACATTTTTAATTCAAACAATATTCTATTTCTTCTTTTTCTTCGAACAATTTTCTTTGTCTTCGAAATTTTTGAGAAATTATCGTCTCATTTTGTAAATTAGGATATTCTACGAATAAAATAAAAGTAAAATTATCGTTAAATATTATTTTATTGTAAGAATGTACAAAAATTTGTATTTGTAAATTTTTGAATAATACATAAAGATTCGTAAAATCGAAAACAATGTTACCTTTTTGAAAATATTTTTCATTATCTCGCAAATAATCACCATCATAATTGGGAAAAGTTATTTTATGCATTTGAATAATATTTCGTGTTATTTCTTCGCGATCTTGTTTGGATAGAGGAATTGTACACACGTAATTACTGACATAAAGAAAAATACGAAGCCATGAGTCCTACAAAAAATAATTATTACAATTTATATATATATATAAAAATATCCATATTTTCATGTCATCTTTTTTCAAATATACTTTTAATGAAAAGTTAACATCAAATAAATATGATGTTATTTTTTTATCAATAATTTTATGTTAACGTAATAAATTATCACTAATTAAAATATAAATATATATATATATATATATATATAAAATCGAAATCAAATATTACGCACGTTAAAAATATTTACTAATATATTTAATTGTTTTTCCAAATCTAGTATCATTTGATATATTTTAGATTTGTAATTAGCTTGAGTTTCTGTATTAGAGGTTACAATATATTGATTCTTCCCATTATCATCTTTTTTGAAGTTATTTATATCTTCACGAATGTTGCTTCGTAATTTACCAATTTTTTGTTTTAATGTAATCAGAAGATTAGCAAACTTAGTCATTACATAATGAAAACTTTTCATAGTAGTTATATTATCCATATTGTATTTTATTCATTATAAATTCGAATACAAATGATTCTTTCAATACCGAATGCTACATAATATTGAACGATGTTAAATAAAATGTTATTGAAAACTATATTGAACAACAGAATATGTTTCAACGATTTATTTTGTTTTATTTGAACTAAACAACTGACTCTTTTTCAATTCAAATACAGTTGCATTGCAAGTGCATATCTAGGATTAATATAATAATAATAATTTAATAATACGATATAAAAGTAATAGATTTTTTTAAATATTCATCTAAGAAGTAAAAATCGTGCAATCAGTTTGTTAATTAAAGTTCAAAAATTATTGTCGTTTTTATCTTATTTTTCACACGTTAACAAAATTTGGGTTAACGTAAAAATAAATAAAAACAACAACAACAAAAAAAAAAAGGAAAAAACAGAAATGATAAATAAATGTTTCTTTATTATGTATATACACCTTCCTTATGCTTACCATATATTTAACAGATATAGTAATATAAAAAAAGTATGAATAAGTCATTTCTGATTAAGAACTACATTAAATAAATGTAGCTGTCATCTTATATCAGTCTTTACAATAAGTCTACTCATAAATATTATGAATAATTCTTTGGCATAATCCCTCAGCAGATTGCACGATCACTTTTTAAAATATATTTCAGAGTTAAATCTAGAGATGTCAAAGGATTGAAAATGCAATCCACTTAAAGGTTTTATCCAACAGATTTTGTATTTGCTATTTACACTTCTCAGGAACTCGATTCTAGAAATAAATTTTATATAAAAATCTGTACTAATAGCATTGTACTTTTAACATTTATAACAAACAATCGTACAGAGATGGCAAACAAGATTCAACTGCTCATATCATCTTCCTCTTTAAATATAATACTTTTATCATTTTCATTTTGTTCTTCTTGATCCGAAATTCCTTCCCAATTCTCATCCGATTCGCTTTCTAAATCAACATCTTCTACGGCAGGACCTTCATCAGATGAATCTATATAAACACAAATGGATTTTAAACATTAAGATAATATAAATATAAGATAATATTAATCATAAATTCTTACCAGCATCTTGATAGACAAGTAAAGTATCATCCATCATGGTGTCTTGTTCTTCTTTACATCCGGATATTTGTCCTGTCACAAGTGAAACTCGTCCTCGTAATTTGGATATTTCAGTTAATAACATTAACTTCGCATCAATCAAGCATAAGATAGGACTAAGTGATTCTCCGATATCTGGATGCGATATAAGATGTGCTGCATGTGTTGTTACCAATGTATTTAACCACATGGTAGCTATTTTACTCCTAGAAAAAAAAAACATTATTTTATGAATAATTACAATACTTAATAATTAACAAAATTATTAATTACAAAAAAAAATATATATATATATATCTTACGGATAAGTTTTGCCTTGTAACATAGTACATAATTCTTTCAGCAAAGGTGTTATTGCCTGGACGGGCAATCTGGCAATAGTATTTCTAATTGTTCTTTCATTTTTCGTATATAATACATTATTTAGAATGGTCCTATCCTTACTGTTTAGTCCTTGCATTAGTAACTGTATCATATTAGTTCCTTTCAAAGGTATCTTACCTGTAGAATTAGTTTCAACATTAAAACTAAGATTTTCTAATCTATCTTTTAAAGGTAATTGTGAACCCGCCGAACTAGTCCTATTTCTTTTAGTCGTTGTATTTGTTGCTCCTAAAAGTAACAATAACATTTAATTAGCTGACAGGAAATATAATGAAATTTTAATAAACAAAAATTATATATTACCAACCAGGAACAAGATATTCAACATTATCCTCCGTAATGACAGCTTTTACTTTAGTAATTAATTCTTCTTTCCTTTCTTTTGTCTTTTTTATTTCAGAACGTATTAAATATTGTATTTTATCCGAATAATCTGGCGTTATTTTTTCAAATGTTAAATTTATATAAGAACCATACGCTAATAATAACTTTCCATTTTCTATCAATTTTGCCATAAAAATAGGAATCAACTGTACAGCATCTTTTTGATTTCCATCAGAAGCAACTGCAATTGTTAGCGTTGGCTTCAGTGGCTTGGAACGTCCATTTGGTTGATATTTAAAAACATGTGCTTGTCCTGATCTAGTAATGGCTAATACCATCATCTGAGAATCCTCTTCAGTCACGTGTACAGAAACAGACATGGCTTCATCTTGCATAGTTAATGAAGCAGCAGAACACTTATCATTCTTCGTCTAATCAAATTGAAAATAGTATCATTAAAAATGGATGTGACATTTTCTATTTAGTTAAAAATACAAATGATAATCATATGTTGTATAATAAATATACCTCATCAAGTGACCATATACTAAGATATCTATCGTCGCTGGCACCACTAATTAAATAACTGGTATCTTGATTCACTGTTATTGCATTTAAAGAAGTAACTTGTCCAGCATGTCCAGTAAAAGTCCGAATAACTTGCTTCGTAGATAAATTCCACCATTTGATTATTCTTTCAGCAGAGATTATGGATTTTCCGTCTTGCGTTACTTCTAAGGCTGTAACTTTTGCCTTACCAGATTTCCACTTAGATTTAATACCATTTTCTTTCATATTCCATTCAATTATATAATGATCATCTGCAGCTGTGAATAAACCATTATTTGCAGACCAAGTCAATGCTGTTACACACGAAGAATGGCCATTTTCTAATTGACCACAAACAGCAGCAGCTGCAACATCATATAAAGTGATCATTCCATTTACAGATCCCATAACAATAATTCCTTTTTGTTCCACCTCTTCCATAATCCCCTTCTTCCTGCGTTTCTTCCATGGTGATGGCTAGAACAATATTAAAATATTAATGAATAATAATATAATTATAATATATTTCGATGCAATAAAATACTATTTTTAATATTTAAATTATATCAATGAACAAATATGTACTTCAATAAATATTCACATTAGATCTACTATAACCTAAATTCATTTTATTATAAAAATCTATTAAAGTTTTATAATTAAGAAATAATTGAAATGTTATACATAATTGTAAGATGAATAAATTAATAGTAACTAATAATAGAACAAAAAAGCGATAATTAAAAATTAATATTTACATTGATATAATTGAGAATAGACAAATAATAAAAAAAAAAAAAACACATGGCATACCGTTACATTTATTACCTGAATATTTACAGAAATCCAGCATAATACACTGCATGGCGAATTAAGATGTAGATTAGGTATATATTCTTGCTTGAGTCTATTCGTTGCTGTCTCCCAAATTTTTAATTTTCCATCAATTCCACAATGAGCGAAAAATTGTCCATCGTGAGAAAACGCGGTACAAGCGGTGATGTTCGCCATTATTGTATCTTCTGATTCTATATATATTTGTAATAGTTCTAAAGTATAACTGTAAATAAGTTTAATTTCAAATATCAGTGTGTGCATATTAATTTCATTAGAAATATCCTGATAATAATATTTACCTCTGTTAAGTCAAATATTAATTCCACTTTAAAAATTTAGATAGTACAACTCGTGTTGGCAAAGGCTGTTGAAAAAAAGAATTTGATAAAGTCGAAGTATAAAGCCACATGGGCTAACAACCCATGGCATTATGTAGAAAAGATAGGTTATAGTTGTTATGATGAAAAGCTTAAATTGATAGTTTCTAAAAGTGCCGGTAGGAGCGCTCAAATCGTTTTTAGTAACTGCATAACTTGTCCAGATTTGTGCAGACACTTACTTTTACTACTTATTAAAAAAAGCTAAGGAAAGAGAAGGACGTTTTATTACAATACATATATACGTGTTAACTTAAAATCATTATTTTGATTAAATGAAATGACCAAATCTTTTATTTAAACAATATTTATTATTTCTTTGTAATTATTATAGTTATAATAATCTTATTAAATATGTTTATTCATGATTTTATCTGTTTAATATGATATCCTTATATTCTTATTTTTATTAACCGATTTACCTTCTTGATGTCAAATACTCATTGTAGTTGTTTTAATAGAATTGATTAGAATTTCTTGATATTTTTAATATTTATATATCTTCTAATTAATATGTATTTGGAATATTATTTTAATGAGAAAGTTGTTTGAGACACACCCTATAAATGGTAAGATTGTTTTTTTCTCTCTTTTAATACCTGTCCTTAATTTTTATTTTTTTTTTAAATTTTTTTTTTTTTAGAGTTTATTTATATAATATCCTGACAAACTGGTTTATTATTATTTTACAGTGCACTGTGAGAGAGATCGTTTAAGGAGAAGCCTTAAATATTAAAATATATCATTGATATCACTTATAAGTGAAATATATTCAATATAATATGAAAATGGTTTGTAGATTTGTTATATTTTGGTTATATATACATATATACATTTATATATTTCTATATTAATATAATTTTATATATATATATTTTTTTTCTAGCCGATTTTGACACACGATGTTCAACTACCACCTGTTCTCCCAGAATTACTATTAGACAAACATGCTAAGTATCTCATGAAATTTGGAGACAGTAAAGATGAATATGTAAGTATTATTTACATTTAGTTCTTAGTATTTAGGATTTTCCATATGTTGACATATGTCTACATTTATATCTACAATATATATACAGTTTAAAGATAAATAGCTACAGCGACTCTAAAATTTTCATTTGAAAATTGTAAACATTCATTTTTGACAATGAATTTTAATTTAGGATGAAATTAATTAAACTTCTAATGTGTTAATTTTTAGTATTACTGTATGACGGAACATTTAAGAATGTCTGGATTGTATTGGGGCCTTACCGCATTAGATTTAATGGGAAAACTTGATGAAACCAAGAAAGAGGAAATGTTAGAATTTATCAAACAATGTCAAAGCGATAGCGGTGGGATTTCTCCTAGTGTACATCATGATCCACATATACTTTACACACTAAGTGCAGTCCAAATATTATGCCTTTATGATGCATTAGATGTAATTGATACAGAAAAAATTGTTAAATATGTTAAAGAAAGGCAACAACCGGATGGTAGTTTTACCGGTGATATTTGGGGTGAAATAGATACTAGATTTTCTTTCTGTGCAGTTACTACTTTAACACTGTTGGTAAGAAATATTTCAATGTATATATTAACAGATGTTCAAATTGAAAAAAAAAAAGATCTTTTTTTCTTTTTTTTTTTTCAATATATTGATATGTAAAACATATAACTTTGAATTTTAGAATCGTTTAGATGCTATAGATGTGGACAAGGCAGTAGAATTTGTAATGAAATGTATGAACTTTGATGGTGGATTTGGTTCTAAACCTGGTTCTGAAAGTCATGCTGGTTTAATTTATTGCTGTGTAGGATTATTATCAATTACGGGTAATTCATATTATAATATTATAAATAATATATACATAGAATTTTGTTATATATATATATATAAGTTTCTTTTTTATATTTAGGACATTTACACTTAGTAGATGCAGATCGTTTAGGTTGGTGGTTGTGTGAAAGACAACTTCCATCGGGTGGTCTCAATGGTAGACCAGAAAAATTACCAGATGTATGTTATTCTTGGTGGGTTCTTTCAACGCTTACAATTTTAAATCGTCTTCATTGGATAGATAAAAAACGTTTAGTGAGTAATTTTTCATCATATAAATAATATCATTAATTAAAAGAAAATATTCAACAAATATTTCTTTACATTTTTTTTATACAACAGATAGGTTTTATTTTGTCGTGTCAAGATACCGAAATTGGAGGCTTTGGCGATAGACCTGGTGATGTTTCTGATCCTTTTCATACTTTATTCGGACTTGCTGCGTTATCGTTACTCCATACTGATTATCCATTGAAAGAAGTTAATCCAACTTTTTGTTTACCACAAAATGTAGTAGATCGTTTAGGTTTGAAACCAGCACGAATGGAAACATGATTTAATACATATATATATATATATATATATACACACATACACACACACACACACACATGAACGATTTAAAAAATGAATTTACTTTATAAAAAGTTTAAGAATATATTTACATTATATATCACAATTTAAAAGGTGAAAGATTTTTTTTTTCTGGGTAAATCATTATTTTTTTTATATATGGTTTTTGTTTCTATGTTTTATATGGTTTTCCTTTGTGTTTGTTGTATTTATTATACAAAATATTTTAGGTAAAGGAAAAATGAAATTAAATTATTATTAACAGAAACATTACAAATCAAAATAAAATTGATAATTGTATTTGTCTCTTATATTATTAATAACTTTATTGCAATAATAAACATTTTTTTTTTTTTAGAAAAAATGATTGTAAAAGAAATTATTTAATATCTAGAAAAATTTAAATGATATTTAATTCCAATCAAGAAATTATTCAATTTCCCATTGCTTTACGTTATCCTGCTTCACATAAAGTTATTTTGTTGGAGAGTCTCACAGATGTCCTTACTCGTCTATTATTTAATCTTAATATCTGCAGAATGTAATTTTAACAAATAAATTGTTAATTCTACTGGATTCGTAAAAGATGCATTTTGTTTACACTTGAGAGATAAATTAAACAAATTAATGAATAAAATGAATAAATCAATATATTTTTAAATAAAGATGTCGATAAGATAAATAAACAGGAAAATCTAATGAATCTGTAATAAGTATTGTGAGTCATATGATATACTCAATTGGTCCACGTTCCTGACCATAGTGAAAGTATACATGTCCGTATTTACCCCACCTTCGACTATGAGTAAACCTATGTGCGTGGACATACTGACTTTAACTGGCCTAAGACCGGCCCGCGTAAAATGAAGCGGGACAAAACGCGTTAGGCCCCGTACCAAGAAACTACTCAACATAGAAAAGCCCGATCTTTATACTCTTATTGTTAATTAATCGATATTGATAACGGGTCATTGAACGTTTTATCGAAATCGTATTATTATTGCCATTGTATCAAAGGGAATATTATTCTTTCAATATTAACAATTATTTCAACGTTAATATATATCATCAATCGAACACATAACGTTATTAATCATTATATTATAATCGTCTTCCGTTCTGGATGGACCGTTCTTCAAACGGTGTTATTCGTTATTTCGACTAAGTGATTTCCTTTTAAAAACGTAATTCGTAATCGTGTTGTTAACTACTTAACGATCTTGTAAATTATCTTTTACAATTATAGTTTGTTGGTTTCAGCTGTCGAACACGTGCGTTTTGTTCGATACAATTATTCAGCGATCAAAAACGGAATTGATTTTGATTATTTTATGTGATATATATATAAATAATAAATGATCGTTAAGAAAAAATCGTTAAAATTATAATTCGATCGACACGTTTATAAGACGTGCAAAGAACGAATAAATTTAAAAAAAAAAAAAACAAACAAACAATAATGGATCGAGAGACGAGAATTATTCTAACACAACTATTCCTATTTGTAAGTATTTTACGATTTTATTCATTCATTTAATAATTATATTATTTTGACTAACTATACATTTTCTATATTAACGTTTGTATTGTATCGATCAACATTGACTATTGCAAGTTAGTTTCTCATATAATTCATTGTATACTTTACTTCTATCGCACAAGAGAACGGCTCATAATTATAATAATTTTTCATTACTTGTTTTCTTAGCGTTCATTCGACGATCGACAACTTGTTAATAGCTTAGACGATGTCATACGATGAGTCAAGGGAAAGAAAGATCATTAACGTAATACAAATTCATTCGTTTTGTATAAAGATGTTACATCAGAATTCCATACTATTAATTACAAAAAAAAAAAACAAAAAATTAATTGCGATTAAAAGTATATTTCCACTTAATCAAATTCAATGGAAAACATAATAATCCTTAATAGAAAAATATACACATCGATCACTAGCATCATTGTTCATCGTAACAACGTTTCATTCTTCCTATTGTTTTTCTTCCTTTTTTATTCTCTAATGCCTTGCACGTGCTGTTCTTTTTTTCTTTTTTTTTTTTTTTTATCTTTAACTGGAACAAATTCGCTTTGCGAAGAAGAAATTATAATGCTATTAACATCGTAATTATTATGTCTGAGTTTATAATTTATGTTTACTGTGGTAACCATTAAAACGATAGATTCGAACGAGTTTAGTTCTACGAATCCGGGTTGAGTCACTCTTGGTTTCGTGAATGTGGAACGACCTCGTGAACGACAAAAGACACTTTTAAAATCAATGTATAATACAATACTTTCGAATCGACAGGAAGAATAAGTCTTATCAATGTTCTTTGCAGGTTTCGAAATTTCTTTTATGTTAATGTTCATTCATATATATACATATATATCATGAATTCTATCGATTTAGGATAAATGAACGAGATGAAAAATTAGAAAAAAAAAAAAAAACATAGTAAACGTAATAAAATAAAATCAAGACAAATAATTAAATCGTAAATATAAGTTTTATAATATGCTTATCAACAGTCTCATTTCATATAAGATTGCATTTAACAATTATGACTAATAATTTCTATTTCTATTAATCATAACAAATAATTTAAATTTCATTGTAATAAATAAATGCAAAAAAAAAAAATATAAAAAAAAAATAAAAAATATCGTAAGATATTTTTAGTGGGAACACGAGGTGAACCTTGTACGGAATATGGTTGTCCTGGACGACCACAATATGAACCCTTCGTTCCAGCACCTCCAGGACATACTCCAGGATGTGCTAAACCTGGTCAAACGTTTTGCGAAACTTTGGATCATTATCCACAGTAAGTAAAAATAAATAGCAAGTTTAAATATTGAAATATTTCATTTGAAATTCGTAATACATAATTAAAATGAGATAATGTATTAACGGATGTAATATCACCGTTGACTTTTGTCAATGTTGTACGAATGAAGCTTTGCCTTGTTTCCCGTTTAATACTATTACCGAAAAAAAAGAGAAGGAGAAAAAGGAAATAAATAGAAAAAAAAAAAAAAAAAATTGAAGTCAGGCCCGCTTCCAGGTATTGAAATTCTTACGAACGTTTCCGAAACTCGTGTGGCATACGAATGATTTCCGTGCGTGTCAAATCTTCCTCCCTGAAGGGAAAGTTATGGAAGAAACGGTTCCATAATTCGATATTCTTTAACTTAATTTTATTTATGTATTTACCTTTTTGTATTTATTTTATTTTATCTTTCAATTCATTCACCGAAATTCTCATTACAATAGAAAAAAGAGAGAGAGAGAGAAATAATGTAGTTAGAATYGTATAAAATCGCGTAAATGTTATGTAAAATGTAACGAAGTGAAAGATACGAAACAATGATAAGAAAATTACAACACAATATTATCCATGAGTTTTGTTGTACGATCATCGGACTATGACCGTGGCCTTGATGTGGTGGTCATGCAAGACACCTGTCAAGATATTTATCAAACCCGTTACGAAAATGATGATTTTTCTTTTTCTTTTCTAAATAACACCTTCTTATATATATTTACTGTAATATCAATTAATTCTTCATTTAATTTTGTTTATTTTATTTTTTTTTTTGTTTGACGTAATAGTTATAAATATAAATATTAGATGAACTGGAAAGTAACGTTGTTTTCTAACCTTAAATTCAAAAGAATACATTTCTAATAAATTTATATTTTTAGTCAATAACATAATCAACCTCGTTATCAACAACCTTTCATCATCTAGTATGCACATTTTTAATAACAAATTGATCAAAATCAATCAAAGTTTTTGATAAAAAAAATATACAAAATTGGACATTACTTTCCAGTCCACGTAATATATCAATTTTAATGTAATTTATTGTATTTTTATCAATCGAAAATTGAAATTGATTTTTTTTTTAAATTTTGTATTTAAATTTAATTATTACGTATTAATATTATCATTCGCCTAAAATGAATATTAATTTGTTTCAAATAATTTTGTTTGATAAAAAAAAATTGAAAAAGAGGAATCTCTGTAAAAGATCCAACAAGAATGAACGATGATAGAAAACGAAAAGGAATTTCATAACGAAATTTCTCAGGATGTTATGTATTATACGTAGAAATGACAGAACATGCCCTGCTTTCGACTATTACATTCAAGATGAGATTACTAGGGATAGGTAATATTATTATCTCACATGTCAAACAGACAGGAGCAAGGTGGTTGGGAAAAAAGTGTGTATGCTCGTTTGAGTAACCACACATCTACAATTATACAGTCTTTGAAAGTGTAGTTTCTTAACTCTTCACACTATCTTTCCCTTCCTCTCATACTCTTCTAATTGAATACAATACGATTTTTTTTTTTCTATCTAATTATTTCAGTTATATTATTAACTAGTTCGTAAGACACATTGATTATTCAATTAAGTAATTTATTTCACGTAGTTATTACAGATTGTTAAACAGACGATAAATTAGTATTTCTAATTGAATAAAAATGTCATTTAATAAATTCATCAAGTAGTTAGTTTGATAATGTATCTGTTTCATAACTACTTATCACGCTATATCAAGTTTTATTATTGTTTCCAAGTAATCATACATAATCTATAAAAATCTAGCTATTACTACGATAGTTTTATGTTCTTTTTTTCATTTCGATATTTTATTTTTCACTCCCACGAGTACCTATCTTTTTTTTTTTTTTTTTACGACTTAGTACAAAGATCACTCAATGTAGAAATAAATTCATCGTGGTCACTATTCTTAGATCGATTCATAGTGAAAGGCAATGCTTTCTTATTACTTCGGAGAAGCGCGTAAGTCCGGTCGACCTCTTTCTTACTTTCGTGAGAATAAATAAATAAAATAAAAAAATGTATATTATATATTGTTAACAAACGATACGATGATCGTACGTTAACGTTGTAATTGCAAATTGAATATTTTTTTATCTCGAATAGATAGAAATATTCGAATGAAAAAATATCGATAGATATTCTAGGATATATAATTGAATGATGAATTCATGAATGTAGCTAATTTAATAAATTCATTCGAAGATTAATTATGACGTTATTAGAAAGACGTTAGAATTGAGAAAAAGCGAGAACGAGAGACAAGACAAGAGATAAACATTATTCTAGATTACAGTTAATCATAGTTAAAGAATACTCGAGGTTGTATAACGGTCACGAATGAAAGAAAGAAAGAAAGAAAAAAAAAAGAAAGAAATACATTATAGCTGCCGGCTATGAATTAAACATCGGAAACACCTTTAGCCGATGTTTCTCGTCTACGGAGAAAGTTTCAAGATCTATGTACCTACAATATACATCTTCGACATGTTAAATTCGTCTTACACACGTAGATAAAATTACGAATTTTTTTTTTTTTTTTCTAACTATCCCCATCCCCCTTCCCTCATCAACCATCTTACCGTTGACATTTTTTTCCTTCGACAATATAAATGACAGAAAGAAGTCGTCAACTTTCTGACCCGATCGTTTTGAAAGTCTATTAGATAGATGTTTGTAATATGGAATGCGTGTAAACATTCTTTTTTTGTTGTTGTTGTCTTCTTCTTCTTCTTCTTCTTTACTTTTTCTTTTTTGTTTTCTCATGTTTTATGTACTAACGATTAGAATTTGAAATTAGCATACGTGATACTTGTGTCGACAACGTGTTCTTCAATCTTTACGATCTTTTTAAAACGTTGCTCATATTTTTCAATATTTTTTGCAACGACATTTCTTTTAGATGACACATGACTTAAGAAATTTTAAAAATTGTACCTTTAATAGTATGTGAGTTTTATGAGCTTTTATTCTTGTATTTTTTTATTTTTTTTTTTTTATGTTACAGACAACTTATCAAATTTCTCATCGATAAATGTAGCTTTGACTTCAGTACGGCGTTGAGGGATGAATCTAATGAGAATTTGAACCCATACAGGTTTGTTAAATGATATTTAGATAATGTTAATAAAAGAAAAAAATGATATTACGAACAAACCTATCTATATTCATTTAATGAAAGAAATAATCATATCAGCCCATCGCATGATTATCATCAAGGCTATGAGTATCCACGACAGGATGCTCCTACCTTATATTCACAGTCTTTGCCTATTTTACCAATTCATCGTCCAGTTAATAGACAACCAACTGTAATATACGGGTCTTTGTTTAATAATACTCATCACAATGGGTAAATATAATAATTGTATGTTTTGTTTTATCTATTAATCATAACATCGGAATGTCGTCATGAAATTCTATATAAATCAGATACAAATATGTAACAACTTCGAGACCTGAAAGAAATCCATTGTTGGACGCAGGATCTTTATCAAAGTATCATCCACAACAGCATTCAGAATTTCCTGTATTTTCCCAAACGCCATCTTTAAATACATTCAAACAAGATCAAACTTGGTGGACTAACAACGGGTAAGACATTTTGAATGTTAATATTTTTCAAAAATCGATCGATGTTTTTATTATCAATTTTGTATTTCGATTTAGGTATGCACGTAGCAATAAAGTGACACCACGAACGTTTCACGAGAATCCACTTTTACAATTTGTAAATTTGAAAACAAAACGAAGAAAGAGACAAACAGATATCGATACTATTTCTCTTTGTCCAACCGAAGCGCAGTACATTGCACCAAGGGCTGCCCTTAACAGTCGGGGTAACTGGATGTATGTTGTTAATCTTTTAGAACAAAACGACAAGTACTCGCAGTTAGTTAAAAGTGAAAAGTGTTTGTAAGTTGATTTTTCATTTGATTTCTTTTTTTTGCGCTTTTAATACTTTACAAGCAATGACTTCGTGTATGTATAATAACAAATTTTAATTTTTATAGGACAAAAACTTGTAATGGTTTATGTTCTGTTCCTCTTGGATACACGAGCACATGTCAACAACAGTTCGTACAAAAGAGATTGGTTGCCTTAGAAGGTACCGGCAATCGACTTTACACCGATGTTTTTTGGTTTCCACATGGCTGTTCGTGTCAGGTTAAATTTAACGGCGAATAATAATAATAATATAGTTATTAATAATATTTAAAAAAATATATATATATATATATAATAACTGTAAGGAAATTGAGAAGAAATATCATCGTAAATTCTCATATTGGTATGAGATAAGGTAAGAAGTCATAAAAATATAATAAAGTGTCGTTATATGGCTGGATTCTACAATCTAATTAATTAATTAAGATGCAATAAGTTTGTCTATAAATATATTAAATAATTCAGGAAATCGTATGTTGAAAAAAGTAATTTATTACGAGTTGATCAAATGAAATGATGAAAGTAAGATTTGTAAAGATTGAAAGTAGATTTTTGAAGAATGTCGGAATTTTAAAATGCATCTTTCGTTGGATTTTAGAAAATTTGAATAAGAAATCGATTAAAAAGTAGCGATTAAAAAGTAGGGATTTGAATCTGTTTAATAGAAGATAAAATTGAAAAGTAAACTATTCTATTTTTTTTTCGACAACGTTTAATTAGAACTTCATTAATTTAAGTCCTTTGTTATTAGTAGTAAATTTGTGAATATCTCACTGTAGATAATATAATAAACTCGTTGTTTTTTGTTTTTTATAATTAAAAAGAAGAAACTTACTTTTCTGACAAACGGTAATATCAAATCCTACTTCACTGATGATCAATAATAGTAGTTTCCTACTTATCAACAATAGATTAAAATATATTCCTAATTTAGTAACTAATTCTTGTTCTTGTTAATAACTAAATAATAGTAGAACTCAATCTTATCGGTTATAGTAATCAGAATTAAAAAAAAAAAAACAAAAAGAATAGTAGAGAAACAAATTAAATGAAAACTGTATTGATGTATAAACAAAATCATGTAGTTCCTTATTAAACTATTTTAAACGAAAAAAAAAAAACACACACACACACACATCGTAAAAAGCTTAAGTATCTTCTTATTCATTAGGATTGTTTATCCTACTGTTATAAATATATTTTTATTTATTTAATAAATACAAAATGTAAACGTAATATTTTAATTTAATTTTATTTCTCAACTGTTTAAAATCTTTATCCAGCGATGATTATCATTGAAACGCGGAAATGAGTCCGTTGAAGTAAAAATAAGGGATTCGGTTTTATCGATTGGATAAAGAAAACGTAAAGTTAGATGAAAAAGGAGAACCACAGCAGGTCAAGCACGCGCAAGGCATTGAGTTTTCACGCGTAGGGAGTACTCACCCTTTTCTCTTTACGCACTACTCACCTTTTTGGCCGCTGACATGCGTACGATCCATATTACTGATTCTCATATCCTTATTTATAAACATTTAACGTATGTATCTTATTATGAACGTAAAACATTTTTTAAATATATCGTTCCGCCACATTTGATTTTTATATTAATGTATAAACAATTTGATGACTTTACTGTGACATTTTGTTTGTTTTTTATTAATTTACCTTAGTAAGAAGTTTTTTACATTTCTATAGATCAAAGGAGATCGAGTTTTGATCTATTCATGAGAAAATTAAATAAATAAAGGGAAGATAAAAAAAAAAAACAAAAACAACAACAAACAAAATAATGCCTAAGTAAAGTTCGTAAAAGGAACTCGATCGAAAGCAACGTTTTACTTAGCGATTTTCACGGTTTCTCCCCTTGGCAACGACATACCCACACACTCGTGCACTTTGCTAAGTACAGAGAGAAAGTGAGAGAGAGAGAGAGAGAGAGAGAGAGAGAGAAAGAGTGGTGAGTAGTATTAAGAGAAAGAGGCGTAGGCAATTTCTACCCTTGTATAGAGAGAACATAGAAAGGAAAAAAGCTAGGAGAAGCGCTCGCGTGCTCTGGAAAGCAAGCTCCGTTGCAGGAGGAAAAATTGAAAGGCCTCCTCCGGTGTATCCTCTTTCTCTTTCTCCTCTCGTTTTCTATCCCTCTCTTTCTCTTTCGTAACGCACGTATCAACACACAACATATACGCGCAATATAAGTGCGTGCTATAGATTTCGTTCCACTCCGTAGAATATGTACTCGTACGATACGTACGTGTCGTATTCACTCGAGACCACCTCTTTCCCTCCAACCCACCCTTGAAATTCACCCCACCTACCCTGACAACTTCTTCTGCATCCTCCTCTCTCGCCCTTCTCCACCTGCGAGGAGCAAAAAGGGGTGGATTTCCTAGGCACGTACGGTACGCACCTCTACACGTGCGATATGTGCACTTATGCTCTCTCTCTCTCTCTCTTTCTCTTTCTTCCACCCTTCCAGTAGCAACCAACTTGCCCATTCCACCCTCTACTATAACTCTCTCTCTCTCTCTCTTTCTCTTTTTCACTTACTCTCTATGCTCTATCTATCTATCTTACTCTCTCTTTCTAAAAACCAGCGCATAATCCAACAGCGCGTACACGCGCGTGTAAGTTCATAGGTGTATGGTACCGAGGCTACTTGAAGGGTTTCCATTTACATATATGCGTGCACGCACCCCGAGTAAGGAGCATACGTACGTTTCCAGGGTGGAGATGAAAAGAGAGAAAGAGAGAGAGAGAGAGAGAGAGAGAGAGAGGGTGTGTGTAGGAAGTCAAGTCCTCGGGACTCTTCATGTGTATGTATATTTTTGTTCACTCTCGTAGTAATAGGCCAGCGTGTACCTGCGCACGCAATTATCCTGCGAAGAGTGCCGTCGGGAGATTTCGAGAAGAGCGGTAGGAGGGAACTATACTTATCTCTCTTTCTCTCTCTCTCTCTCTCTCTCTCTTTCTCATTTTTTCCTTCTCAAGGCTAACGGCGAATTGCAAATTTCAAGTGCGTTCCCGCGACTTCATTTTTTTACGAGCTCCTGTCTGCTTCTAGCGAGCTTCTCCCTTTTCTTAGTCGTCAGTCTATCTTTCCTTTTCTCTTTATCTCTCTCTCTCTCTCTCTCTTTCTCTTTCTTTCTCTCTTTCATTCGCTTTCCGCCTTCTTTCTTCTTTTCTCTTTTCTTTTTTTTTTTTTTTATCTTCTATGCTCCTTTTTAGATTCTACCCCTTCTTGTATGACAGACTAGGGTAGCGACGAGAAAGTAACTTGGCTATTCGACTTTGTCATGAAATATGCTCGGACAAATCGTTTTCGATCGGAAGATCCTCCTCTCTGCTTATTTCCTTTATCGATTCCATTTTCAAAGATTTACTTTAACCATAATGGTTAGCATTATTGGTTGGTTGGTTATCCGTTTAAATYTATATTTCGAATGAATTCAATTGTAAACAGGATAGTATTGTCGTCTATTATTATCGAAATCAAAATTTGTATCGAGCTATGAATAAAATTTCAAATTGTACAATTCAAAATGATCAAACTAAATCTAAATATTTTATTTTTAAATCCTATACTTACAATGTTTCTTATTTTACTTTTTCCTCCTTTCAAAAATATCTTCCGTAATACCGGCAGCACTATCGCTGGCACCAAAGCCACCCCCGTTTAAGAAGGGGAGGGGTAAGTTACGCGGTAATCTCTTGGCCAAAAGTCGATGGTCCTTTTTTTCTTTCTTTTCTCTCTCTCTCTCACTCTCTCTCTCTCTCTCTCTCTTCCTAACCCACGTTACCCCGCAGTTCTTTCCGCCCCCGTCTCGGTCTCTCTTTCCACGATTTACCAGGCATACTGTCGAGCGCCGGGATAAAGTCACGAGCAGTAATTATGAACGATAGTAGGGGAGAGAGAGGATATAATTGTGATTGATGGAGAGACGAGAGGAGAGGATAGCAGGGGGAGATGACTTCCTTTTAATCTCGAACCTAACCCTTGCACTCGATCCATTGCTGCTGCTGCTGCTGCTGTTGCTGCCGTTTCTGTCCGGCATGATTCGATGCGATTCCATTACCTTCGTAAAACTGAAATCTCTTTGCAAGAATGAAACAAAAAGAATAGAATAGAAAAGAAAAGAAAAGAAAAGAAAAGAAAAGAAAAGGAAAGAAAAGATATTACTTGTATAGGTACGTCAATGGATAAAAAGATCGTCGTCGAGTTACTAACGGTGAAAATAAAAAGATATAAGAAGAATGATAGAGAGAGAGAGAGAGAAAGATAAAGAGAGACGGGATTCTCTCGTTCGGTTTCGATCATTCGTTTTAAGAGGATTTGTCGAGATAAAGCGTTCTTCTTAGACCCTCGTTTACATCCGAACACCGATACTCGTTTCTCGAGAGGAACAAGATCATTCGTGATAGCGGGTGGTACACTGTACTGTTGGTGTTGGTGAGAGATTTAATTTGACCCACTTCCGGTTCTCTACGATGACACAAACAGGCTCCTAACTGTGCGGTCAGATAGGTCAAGTTTACGAGATAGCCCGATTCTCCGTAAACCCTTTCGGCTTAACCCGAAACACATCTCGTGGTCTTCTGTTTTGCTTTCAATGTAGAGAGAGAGAGAAAGAGAGATAAAGAGAGGGAGAGAAAGAGTAGTGAGGGTTCCTCTACCAATCTATCCTCTTTCTCCCTCGTTCCTCTGTGCTTGCTTCGATTCTCTCCTTCGTTCGTTCGTTCGTTCGCTTGTCCTCACTCACCACACGCTCGACCCACCCGCTGCGTATCGGAGTACCTGCCAACCCTACTGACGACACCTGTGTAACACTTTCGCGAACCGTAACCCAACGATCTCTGCGTTTCCTCTTCTTTTTTCTTTCTCTCTCTCTCTCTCTCTCTTTCTCTTCCTTTTTTTTTTCTTTTTACTTCGCTTCACGATTCGCGCTATGCCTCACTAATCAAAAGGATCCAAAGCAGGGCGTGGGTGCTGCCGGAAGATCAACGATGCGTTTTTACATCTTTCCTTTTTTTCTCTTATTTTTTTTTTTTCTTTTCTTTTCTTTTTTCATTAACTTCCACGGTAAGAATTAATCGTTATTGTTGTATTTGTTTGTTTTTTTTTTTTAATACTTAATTCAATAACTTTTAAAAGACATGATAAAGAGTATCTCATCAATTTGTTGAGTTTTATTCGTCGTCGTTCATCTAGAACATTTGTATTTTCGGGAACGAAAATAGAAACGTTTAAGAAAAATAATTACGTATTATCATTGAAAATAATTTTCTATTGAAAAAAGTATAACAATGGAAGATAATTTGGTGTCTGACAAATGATAAATAAACAAACCAAATCTGAAAATAACAATTAAAGATGAGTATTTCAACAGGTAGTAATAAACAATGTTGCGTAAGCAAGAAAAAAAAGGGGCAAGTTTCGAAATCAGATAGAAATTGGATAGGGGATAAAAATAAAACGAAGTGAGGAATCGATTGGGTAACATTGCAGAATATTTTAGGTAAAAGAAGAAGAAGAAGAAGAAGAAGAAGAAGAAAATAAAAACAACGAAAAGAAAAGAAAAAAATTAAGAAACATCAGAGTATTATTATACGATAAAAGTTAATAAAATAAAATAAAAAATAATAATAAAAGAGAAATAGTAAAAAGGTTTTTTAAAGAAAAAGAAAGAAATAAAGAAAGAGAGAAGAGAGAAAAAAGAAAACAAAAAAAGAAGAAAAAGGAACATTGAGAGTTGGACTTAAGGAAGGTATTGAAGAACAGGGGGTTGGTACATAGAAACAACCAAGCCACGTGCTCCTAGTCCGTTCCTTGCGTTAACTTACAGGGCATCGATCGTTCCTGCGAGATTCGCGCACGCGGTCGCATGCGAGAGTTTCTCTTCTCATAGCTTCAACATACAATTCATACATACACATACATACATACATACACAGAGATCATACATACAAACATACATACATACAAATACACAAACGTACAACATATACCAATCTCTAACATATCATATATGTTCTCTCTATTTTATACGTACACCTAAACTCAACACACA